CGGGCTCCTGCCGACGGCCGGGCCCCCTCGGCCTCTCCTGAACCGGGCAGGGTGCAGGGGCGTGCTGCGCCAGCCGCGGAGGACCCCAGCGTTACCCCGGCCTGCGCAAGGCCGACCGCCAGCTGCGGACTGAACGCTGCTCTTCCATAGCCTACAGCCGGGAGTGGTTCCTGAGGTCAAGCATGAAAACGCGAAGCGTGCTGCTGATTGGTATGACGGATTTTCATTTCAAAGTCAGTTTACACTTTCCACAGTACTCGGTAACAGGCAGACTCACATTAAACATCGTCCAGAACACTGTCAAGATACTCACTTTCAGTGCTTGATAAGAAACTTGAAATAAAACAACGTTTCTGACTGGAGTTCCTTTAACAGTTTCTGTCTATACAGCAGTAATATTCTACACTCCATACAACTTTGATACAAAAAGAGCTCTAAATGTCGGTGATGATGGTGATGGATAGGATAATCGCCCATTTTACAGGTAGGTAAAAGAGATGCAGTAGCTATCCTAAAAGCACACCTCATGTCTATGGTAGCAAGAAGGGTTTGGGGGAAAGAACTCGCCAATAGAGCCATCCTAAATATAAATTACAGAAAAAGGATGTATCCATCATATGGGATGCATGGGGCTGGTTTACGTAAGTTGCTGTATCTAACAACATAGACAAGACTAAAGTAGTTAACCTTCCTTCGTAGCATGTTTCACTATTTAGTCCAGCTGACTAGATGCTTAGTTAACCAGGGAGGATGATTTCCTTTCTTTATATCACCCCGGGTGAAAAGAACCTTGCAAATTATCTGAGATACAGTTTCCAGCATTGCTGGTAAAATTAAACCTCCCACCAACAAAGACTTAGGTGTGCATGGATGGAAAAACTGCATCTACGGTGTAAATTATAAAGGTCGAGCTGGCGAGACAAAAGCAGTGCATTTTCAGTCTGAGTCAATAGTTGTAGTCCAGGTTCTCTTCCTGACTTTATCACAGGGTACCCATGTACCAGTAGAGAAGTCATCGTGCCATGGGAATGGTGCTCCACATCACTGAAGAGTTTCAAGATCTACCCCACTGAGATTGCCGGACACCATAAGTTTCATGAAAATAATTTTCAAAACTTAAGCTGTTTAAGAAAGCTGAAAATGGTAAGCAGGACATGGAGTACCAGCTGTGGCACATGGCTATCATCACAACATAAAAGAGCAAAACCAAAATTAATTTGTAAAGTACATTTGGTGTCACAACACTTTCATAACTACTTCCACTACTTTGTGAGTCATCAGTACAAACATACATGCACCCACCCCTTTCCCCCTACCTCCCCCCAAAATGTGCACCTTTTAATTTACAAGCCTGTCAATAATGAGGGATGAAGGATGTGGGATGAATGTGTAGGGGAGACAACACAAAATGCTTTACAAGAGAGCAAGAGCTGTGTTCCTTAAAAGTCTAGATCGTACATGTAGCTTGGAAGATACAGGCAAATCCTTCACACGGGGATTTTTCCTAGCTTCCCTTTAAAGCCTAGCAAGAACCTGTATTAATCTTGTCTCTGTTCAAAACCTGGCTTGTAAGACCTGATGTAAAGGTGTGTGGATGAAGAACTGCCACAAGCATTACTGCCGCTATGAGCAGAAAGAATTCAACTGTCAGATTTGTTTCATAGAGAGAGGCTTGACCTACAATGCATGTGCCAAACTAGTATATCCCTCCATGTTGGAATGTTTTGGATCCAGAAGTTCACACAGGCAAAAGCAAAACTTATTAGTTGTGCTACACTATTAAGCATATACATCATTCTCAGCTGAATGGTTATATCTCAGCTCAGGGTTATTTGTATCCCGCTTTAAAATCAGACTGTTCTCTATCAGTAGAGAGCCAGGATGTGATCTGTCATTCTCACTAAGCCGATTTAATGGGGAGCAGTTACTGAAAGGGGAGGGGGGCGCAGAGGATGCAGCTCCTCCCTCGGATCCTCATGCGCTCCCCTGCAGCATAACTGTAACCCTGCAGTAAGCCAGTTCGGAGATCCATCTGGTCAAATGCATAAGAAGGATCAAATCCCTCTGAGCTACCTGTTTTCTGTCTGCGCAGCTCCTTGAACCAGCTCACGGCAGGGCTTGCTCTGCACCATTGCCCCTGTTAGAGCCACGACAGAGCAATGAAATCTGTGAGACATGCAGCGGGAGTGTGCTAGGGAAGGACTACCCTGTTTGCAGGAGCCAAATGACAGACAGGCTTAATGCCATCAGAATGCAGCATTCTCAAGCTGCTGTATATAATACATATGTAGTGCATCCACAAGAACGGAACTGTAGCAAGAAACACTAAACAGGCGAAGCATGGATTTTAGGATTTAGCACATGTACTTAGGCTGAAGCATCTTCCATGTTCTAAATCAGATTCTGTCAGATCAATGCTGGGGATTTTTCAAGGCAGAACCACCCAAGGCAATATTACAGCGCTGGTGCCTATATTGTGACTGCAGTCTAGTCTCATGACTGAGAGGAAGCTCTGAATTTTTAGGAGCATAAAAAAAACCCAAACCATATTGAGTCAGACCAGCTTTTGTCCAGTCCTGTAACCTCCAGCAGCTAAATTAATGCTTATTCTCAGTGAAAAAACACATAATCCACAAACCCTCTGTCAGAGATCATAATGACTTTCACAAATAAATCTCATGTGGTAAGAGCTAAGCTTGAATCACAGTTTTGGTGGGTTCTGATTTCCTTCTCTCTCATCAGGAAGACCACAGAAGTTCCTATGAACCACCACAGGGGCCAAGTAACTCAAATCTTAAGCAGGTTCTGTCCAGAACTGGCTATACTGGTGAGTGTAAGAGCATGAAGAAAGGGAATGAAGAGACTCAGGGACTCCCAGTGCCACTACCTTTGCTGAAGGTGGGTCTGTGAAGAGGAAGGTCTCGCAGCACCTTTGGGCAGTGCCCAAGTGAAGTGAAAAACTAAAACATCATTCTCCTGAAATCTAAAGGTGCTGCTGATCTCTGTCTACCTGGAGAATGTATAGTCCTAACTGACTTCTCCAGTTTCCACTGAATAGGAAGGGTATTTGTGGTGGGTCTTCCATTGATAAGTGTGGAAATATCAAAGTCTCGTTCTTGAACGAGACACCGCATTTCGTAATTGTGGCTCTGACTGTACCAGGGATTATAACAAAAACATGACAGTCATTGCAGGTAAAATTGTTTGCTTGCTGTTCTACTGTTTGGCAGAGGATTTCTTCTTTAGACCCAGCCATATCAATGACTTCTATATGCGTGTCTCTCTTCCTGATATTAAGTAGAGACCTAGGAGGCATATAGGTGTGAGCAAAGAGTAGAGTATAGTGTCTTGGATGGTTTGAGGACTCTGGAGAATGCATGAGTTGCTCCAAGTGACACAAACACGGTATCAGTCCTCCTTGGTGTAAGCACCCAAACAGCAAAGCCCCAAAAACATTGAAAATAGTAATGACATGTCTCCACTTCACAGCTCTATTCTGTGATGTACTGAACAGGACTAATGGCAAGATGAGTGGAATGAGAAACCGAGGTTCTTGGTGACTGAATAGGGAGAGAAATGCCAAAGGAACAAAATAAAACAGCAATAATGTTGGACTGCCCTCGGAATGCACTGATAGCCCAGATGACCCATGGCAAAATGATCTGACCCGTATTAATTGATGGATATATTCCTTCAATGTTTTAATACCAGCACCAATGGCCAGAATATGTAAGACCCCAAAGAGCATTATGCCATTGACTGTAAAATGTGTAACTCGGGGATGACTTCCGTGCAGTGCAAGATTATGAGGATTAAGATTATAGCTGAGAAAATTGAAAGGGGTTACTATCATTTTCTCATTTAATTGACTTATTACATCAAATAGGCTGCTCTTTTTAATGCTGTAGAGGTTTTCTAAGTCCATGGAGGTAAAATAGAAGGTATCGGCCGTTACAAAAACAATGGCAGTAAAACATGCACATAGGACAAGCTTTGAAAAGTGGTTTATGACAGTTTTAATGCTCTTTTGAGAGTCAACAATTAAACCTGCCCAGTAAAGCAGGGGCATTAGAGCAAATGCCAGAAAGGTTGGCCTGTTGAAAAACCCAGCAGTTGTTACAATACCTATGAGAGGGCTGCTTGTAGGCCCCACTAAGCTGCCATCAGACTTTCTTGAGGAAACCAATACCATCAGAAGAGCAAAGAGAAGTCCTTCAAGTGTGTTGGTAAATGTTCTGGTATAAAACACCAGAGTGACATAAGATCCGGCAAGAAGTACCAGTGCTTTCCACGGATCCACTTCCCAGAAAGGAGCTAACCGGTAAACACTATAGTCGAGTATGAAAGAAAAGACTGTAAAGAGAAGGCGAGGTGATACAAGAAGGGTGTAGCTGTTGATGCAACTTGAACATATGTCCAGCTGCTGCAAAGACTTGATCACCCAGTAGGTAACTCCAGATGTCATTAATGGGAAAACAATTGTTCTGCAAGGAGAGCTGGAAAGGAACTCCCAAGGATAATAGACCTGTAGGTTTAAAATATCTCCTATAATGGAAGAAAGAAAGAAAAAAAAAAACATACATACATACATAATGTATTTTATTCAGTAATTCAGCATTAGGGATACAACTTAGTGTAAGAGGCATCACCGAGACAGAGCAGTCCCTAGGCTTTTGAGGCTGTCGTCAACCTTGAAAGTTTCAGGAGTACACCATTAATTTTCACAAAGCTTTAAGGAAAAAAAAAAAAAAAAAAAAAGACAAAAAAAATCTCTATTACAGTGATACGGTTGCAGGCGCCACTTGCCGTGGCCAGCACAAACGCCGCCACCCGCAACTGCGGATCTGCTCCCACCCTGCTTGCAAGAATCGCTTTGTAACGAAAAGGGAGCACGAAGCGGGCCTGTGCGAACACCGAACCGCACCGGGCAGCCCGCGAGGAGAAAGGAGGAGGAGGAGGAGGAGCAGGGCGGGGGCTGCGTCTCACAGCGACGGCACACGGCAGGCAGGTGCCCACTCGCTGCGCGGCACAGCGCTGCACCCGCCGCCGCCGGGGTGGTGG